GTCACGATATTGCTGAAATATTGCCGACGTGACTTTAAATTTTAACTCACTCACTCACCCTACTTCCCGGTGTCCTCCAAAATTAACAAATGTCTGAAATTTAATCCCTACTCCTCGACTATTCCACAACAAAAGTGGGTAATTTGCCTTTGTTAAAACTGAGTGTAGTGATTTTGTCATGTTTATATGTTTATTTGTTTGTTTGTTTGTTTGTTGTTTAACGCCGCACTCAGCAATATTACAGCAGTATGACGGCGGTCTGTAAATAATCGATTCTGGACCAGACAATCCAGTGACTGGTATGAGCATCGATCTACGCACTCGGGACCCGATCCCGTTAGTCACCTCTTACGATAACAATAGGACGGGTCCAGCAGTTTTAAAAGGGAGGGATCCAACAACATACTACATCATCCCCCCCCCCCCCCCCCACCCCCCCCCCCCCCCACCCCCCACCCCCCACCCCCCACCCCCCCTTTACCGCAAGCATGGGTTGCTGAAGGCCTGTTATATAAACCCGAATCTCCACTGCTAGTTGTTTTGGGGAGACAACCTTATCCCCGGATCCCCATCCGTATCTTCACATCACACGCGTGGCCAGTAATGTGATAAACAACTGACGTTGTCTTGTATTGATTGTCGAAGTAAGCTTATCATTAGTTAGCGCAGCTATTAAATTACACGCGCTACATGGCACATATTGTATTACGAAGTTGACAATTCAATGTCCACATATTGGCGACAATTAGGTCCCAGTCAGTATAGGAGGTCGCCCATCCATTCGGAGTGAACACGAAGGGGACATGCTTTTGTCTGCGACAGGCGACAATATCCGCCGTCAACTGTCGGATGCTGTTCCCGAGATAACCGGACTGCATGTGTACACTGAACTAATGAGTTCAGCATTTGTATGGTAGTGAGTAGAATATCACGGGCCTTTGTCCAGATCAATAACCGCGGTGTATTACATTCTGCGGGGCATGCCTTTTCTGTACTGTATATGGTTAAGGACCATTTGATTTCTAGGGAAGGGGTGTTTAAAAACAGGTCATAATTTTGTGTACATAAAATCTCGAAAAAAATCTTTGACATGGTGGACATGATTTGTTTGTTTGTTTGTTGTTTAACGCCACATAGCAATATTCCAGCTATATGACATTGGTCTGTAAATAATCGAGTCTGGACCAGACAATCCAGTGATTAATATCATGAGCATCGATCCACGCAATTGGGATCGAGGACATGCATCAACCAAATCGGCGAGCCTGACCACCCGATCCCGTTAGTCGCCTCTTACGACAAGCATAGTCACCTTTTACGGCAAGCATGGGTTGCTGAAGACCTATTCTAACCCGAATCTTCACGGGTCACATCTTAGGTACGGATAACAGTTATCACTGCGGTCTCACGCCTGTGATGAACTTTGTCAGGGGTCGCTGAAATATTTTTCAAGGTATGTTAGTACCGACGGGATGCTGGTTTAGATACGAGTCTGGCAAAGTGACTGTCGATGTTTTCTCTTTAGTTGCTATATACATCCCACAGGAGGATATGGCGTCGACCCAAACGGGCCAACATTTCTGCAAAATGACCCAAAACTGGAATGTGGGTACCATATCATTCATGCATCAGCTCGTCCGTACGATATAAAGATATTGGAACCATTCAACACCATCAAACGTGTTAGAACCGACTAAAATGGTCGAACAGTTGTCAGATTGAGTGGAATTGTGTTGATTGACAGATTCTAATTTCAGCTTCTGGGTTGTCTGGTCCAGACTCGATTATTTATAGGCTACCGTGATGCAGCTGGAATTGTCTGGCTGTGACATAAAACAACATTAACTCATCAACCTAGAAGAATTATGAATAGAACTTTGACTAAGATATCAGACGAGCACAAGTTGGTTGGTTGGTTTCTTGTTTAACGCCGCACTCAGCAATATACCAGCTATAGGACGGCGGTCTGTAAATACACAAGTCTGGACCAGACAATCCAGTGATTAATATCATGAACATCGATCCTCGCAATTGGGATCGATGACATGCATCAACCAAGTCAGCGAGCCTGACCACCCGATCCCGTTAGTCGCCTTTTACGGCAAGCATGGGTTGCTGAAGACCTATTCTATCCCGGATCTTCACGGGTCAAGAGTCCAAGTAGAAAGCCACAATGCTATTGTTAAAAGGCAGATGCAGACATTCAAGTAGAATAACCTGCGGTTGGAAACATGAGCAATGACCGACTCCATTATTCACGATGACATTATCAGCCAGATTACACATTAATTCTCTCTTTGTCGTTTTAACGTCCCACTCAGCTTTATGACAGTGGTCTGTAAGAAAATTGCGTATGGACCAGAGCATCCAGTTACTGACATCATGGATATCGATCTATACATTTGGGACATCCGTTATTGCTCACCCGATTCAGTTTGTATAATGTTAATTGTATCTTTTGGGCTAGTAGAACTCATGCCTTTTTGATAGTTGTGTCTTTAAATATGGTCCAGGAAACGTCAGGTTCAGTTCTACAGTTTAGAGTACTGTTGACTGATTCGAACCCACATTCAACGGTTTCTGGTGTGCCCAAGGGAGACAACTCTGTTTACTAGGCTGCTACAATTGTCATGGGTACGTGGCTGCTACAGCTGTGATGTGTACTAGGCTGCTACAACTGTGATGTGTACTAGGCTGCTACAACTGTGATGTATACTAGGCTGCTACGACTGTGATGTGTCTATGCTGCTACAACTGTGCTTTGTACTATGCTGCTACGACTGTGCTGTGTACTATGCTGCTACAACTGTGGTGTGTACTATGCTGCTACAACTGTGCTGTGTACTAGGCTGCTACAACTGTGCTGTGTACTAGGCTGCTACGACTGTGATGTGTACTAGGCTGCTACAACTGTGCTGTGTACTAGGCTGCTACAACTGTGCTGTGTACTAGGCCGCTACAACTGTGCTGTGTACTAGGCTGCTACAACTGTGGTGTGTACTATGCTGCTACAACTGTGCTGTGTACTAGGCTGCTACAACTTTGCTGTGTACTAGGCTGCTACAACTGTGCTGTGTACTAGGCCGCTACGACTGTGCTGTGTACTAGGCTGCTACAACTGTGATGTGTACTAGGCTGCTACAACTGTGGTGTGCACTATGCCGCTACAACTGTGCTGTGTACTATGCTGCTACGACTGTGCTGTGTACTATGCTGCTACAACTGTGATGTGTACTATGCTGCTACGACTGTGATGTGTACTATGCTGCTACAACTGTGGTGTGTACTAGGCCGCTACAACTGTGCTGTGTACTAGGCCGCTACGACTGTGATGTGTACTAGGCCGCTACGACTGTGATGTGTACTAGGCTGCTACGACTGTGATGTGTACTAGGCCGCTACCTGTGCTGTGTACTATGCCGCTACATCTGTGCTGTGTACTATGCCGCTACAACTGTGATGTGTACTATGCCGCTACAACTGTGATGTGTACAAGGCCGCTACAACTGTGCTGTGTACTATGCTGCTACAACTGTGATGTGTACTATGCCACTCCAACTGTGATGTGTACTATGCCGCTACAACTGTGGTGTGTACTATGCCGCTCCAACTGTGCTGTGTACAAGGCTGCTACAACTGTGCTGTGTGATATGCCACTACCTGTGCTGTGTGCTATGCTGCTACAACTGTGATGTGTACTATGCTGCTACAACTGTGTTGTGTACTATGCTGCTACAACTGTGCTGTGTACTAGGCCACTACAACTGTGCTGTGTACTATGCTGCTACAACTGTGCTGTGTACTATGCTGCTACAACTGTGCTGTGTACTATGCTGCTACAACTGTGATGTGTACTAGGCCACTACCTGTGCTGAGTACTAGGCTGCTACAACTGTGATGTGTACTAGGCTGCTACAACTGTGATGTGTACTATGCTGCTACAACTGTGATTTGTACAAGGCCGCTACAACTGTGTTGTGTACTATACTGCTACAACTGTGATGTGTACCAGGCCACTACAACTGTGCTGTGTACTATGCCGCTAACTGTGATGTGTACTAGGCCACTTCAGCTGTGATGTGGACTATGCTGCTACAACTGTGTTGTGTACTATACTGCTACAACTGTGATGTGTACCAGGCCACTACAACTGTAATGTGTACTAGGCCGCTAACTGTGATGTGTACTAGGCCACTTCAGCTGTGATGTGGACTAGGCCACTACAACTGTGATGTGTACCAGGCCACTACAACTGTGATGTGTACTAGGCTACTACAGCTGTGATGTGGACTAGGCTACTACAACTGTGATGTGGACCAGGCTGCTACAACTGTGATGTGGACCAGGCTGCTACAACTGTAATGTGTACAAGGCTGCTACAACTGTAATGTGTACTAGGCCGCTAACTGTGATGTGTACTAGGCCACTACAACTGTGATGTGGACTAGGCTACTACAACTGTGATGTGGACTAGGCTACTACAACTGTGATGTGGACCAGGCTGCTACATTGCGATGTGGACCAGGCTGCTACAACTGAGATGTGGACCAGTCCACTACAACTGTAATGTGTACAAGGCTGCTACAACTGTGATGTGTACTAGGCCGCTACCTGTGATGTGTACCAGGCTGCTACAAATGTGATGTGTACTAGGCTGCTACAACTGTGATGTGTACTAGGCTGCTACAACTGTGATGTGTACTAGGCTGCTACAACTGTGATGTGTACTAGGCTGCTACAACTGTGATGTGTACTAGGCTGCTACAACTGTGATGTGTACCAGTCCACTACAACTGTAATGTGAACAAGGCTGCTACAACTGTGATGTGTACTAGGCTGCTACAACTGTGATGTGTACTAGGCTGCTACAACTGTGATGTGTACTAGGCTGCTACAACTGTGATGTGTACTAGGCTGCTACCCCATCTCGGACACACAGAAGCAGCACATCATCATAAACAGTATATTTATTGATATCAAAATAATCTGAGCAGAACGGATTAAGATGGAAATCTACAGCAGTTTATTGCCATACTTGTGATCATGAAAATTTACATCATTAGAAATAAAATAGCGGCAGAGTATTCGTCAAGTAACGTGGACAAGCAGCTGTACATTTGTCCTTACATTTATGCAGCAAAGGCGCAGTCTAAGATATCTATGCCAACAAGCAAAGTTAGTTAACATCAATTCTCATCTGGGGATATTGTCTAATGATACACTGTAATCTGATTGCACATGTTCAACACAGAAGTACATGAACATGTACATCAAGCACTACTTAACAAAAAAATCCAAACAATGGTTTACACTTCATTTTATCGTTTGCCTTGTAGGAGAAAATAACACTGAAATAAACAAATTTAATGACAGGGTTTCCATGGATAAAATACATCAGTAATAATTCTGAATGATTCCCTTCTTTCCAAAAAAGTATGCTCTCAATAGCATTTTTTCAAACCAAAGTGGCAACATGTATACCATTCACAGAAAATTGCACTTGGCTGTCTATTGTTGGTGAGTTTTCAGGAACATTGTCAAAGGGTTTTTAAGGCTGAGTACCTTACCATCACATGTGACATGACAACCAATTCCTGTAAATTTTATTTACCAGAACTTAAGTTATTAGTGATTACCTCGATTTTATTCTTTTTCTTACAAATACTTCTTGTGAAAACAGAATATGAGCACCAGGAAACATGTGGCTGTGATGATCGACGACTTTGACAATAAAGTCTAATGTTACATGAACATGTTTGTGATCACAAGACATGGATAATGCAAAAAGCCATGACAAATAGTGACACAGTTCGCTGCTCCATTAAACTCCAATCCTGGAAAATAGTGTAAACATTCAATTGTGGCTTGTTTGTTCCCTGTGGGATAGCAATGTTACATGAGAAGATGACATGATGACATTCTGGAACGCAACGTTCCACTATGTTCATACCAGAACCTTTCACTCTCTGTTCAATGCTAATTGCCTGTCTCAGAAACTCTTACTCAAGCACTTAATACCAGGTGCACTTCTGTTTGGCCTCATTTGAGAGATAATTTCCAGAATATTTACCCAGATTTCAAGAAATGTAAGAAGTCAAAATATAGAATTACTTTTACTTTCAATCCAAAAAACATTTATTAAATAAAAAAAAAATATTTTAAAAACCCAATGTGTTTCATTATTTGAAATTTTAAAACGGATCTGTGCTTCACTTTTTTACCTTGGCTAAATGGAAAATGAAAAACCTGTCAATCCATTCCCAATGAGACCTTACATTAACAATGGGCATGCTGCAAAATAAACTGCTAAGAAGCAAATTAAACATTAGCAAAAACATGCATCTGTAGCATGATAAGAGATCACTTCATATGAGCGTCCACTTCCACACTGACCATGTCCACACTCCCTGGTCCAAGCTCCACACATCCACGTCACCTACAGCAGCACACTGTTTCAACCTAAGACACAACACCTGCTGCCCTATTACAATTATCACATGACATCCTTCTGACAGATTTCATTGCAACCAGTTGAAAGACTGAACTGTCATGTATCATGGAGACCTACTACTTATAGGAATTCTAACCACCAAACAATGTAAATATCCTTTCACAAAGAAACAAGTAATCATTTTGTTGATTTTCCATGGAATGATCGTTTGAACAGAGTTAATTAAACGATTATTGTTGAACAGTGTTAACCCAACAATCAAAGGATTAATCTCAAGTCATCACAAGTTTCTTTTGAGTATTTCTTTCTAATTAAATTAATACAAAACAACAAGTTTTAAAATGAGGAAAATGAGTCATTTAAGTTTAATTAAATATGAAATGCACTGAATTAAAATCTCCATGAACTGTCTACTTACAAATTTTCAGATTTTCTAGCTTTTATCAGTCTCAGCAATGTTTGGTAAGCATATCTAAGCGTTATGGTACAAACCTCATACAAGGCAAGAATACTAAGCAAAAAGGCATACATGAACACATTAAACAGGCAACCGGTCCTGACGTGCTGAGGTATTATCTGTCTCATATGCATTCAAATAACATGCCTATGCATGAAAACAAAGCAGGACAAAACGATAAGCGACATGTTACTGTTAACACTGTGGCACATAGGAAGTAAAAGGATGGTTGGCATTGAGTTTTCCAAAATAGCTATCCCCTATGGTATATACACTGATCCCCACGACAACGTCAAAAATGGACATATTGGCATTCAGACAAGAAGTAGAAGGGATCATACTGTATTTTAAGATAATCTTATCTGTAGCATTGATTTGGAGTAGTTCCTTTAGGTTGAAGAACAGGGATTTAGCCATCATTCCAAACTGATTGTCCTTGGCAGGCAATTATATTTTTTGGAAAAGATATATTTTGATCAAATTGGTCAGAGAAATACAAGTCACTTCTGCAAAGCCATAACATGAATTGGGACATCTTGTAAATCCAATTTGAGAACTTTTACTGAAATTTGCTGCAGACCTTGGGCCGAACATCAGCCTCTAAGCAGGTCTAGCTAAATCCCTGAAATATCAGTAAAACTGTGTTCCAACTAAAAACCACATGCAGCTATCAACTATAGTATAACCAATGCTTGCCTTAAAAAGGATTTCATTTAACTGGGATAGGATCAGGGTGTTAGTGAAACTGCTGAAAACTACCAATAGTGACTAACTTGAGAAAAGGTGTTAATAGAAAATACACGGTGTTATAAATAAGTGTATATGATAAACAATGGCTGAATCATAGTGAAAGGTGCTTGATCTTTTTGACTATCAATAATTGTCACAAAATTACATTAATCCTCACGGAAGTATTTGAATGAGGGTAGATATTTACAATCATGAAAGATTCATTTAGTGGCAATCTGACATTGTTCTGGGTGCGATTAGCACTAATGATGAAAGGCACTTGGAAACAAAATCTGAGTGAAGTAGTCATAAAATCATAGTGAATAAACAAGTGAAAATGATACAATGTGCAAGAACAAAGGAAAAACAAAAACAGAGCATTAATAACATATGCAGACTGGCAACTTGGTATCGAGAACTGAGAAGTAGCAGAGAAGCATCATGTTACCCACTTGCATAGACAATGACACTGTCGTGTGGTACATCTCTGTCAAATATGCTGCCATACACACAACTGGGTAGTAGATATTATGAACGGTGACCTTCTCAAATGTGGCAACACAGCTACACATGCAGTCAGGCTGCTACAGGAATGATCAAACTCACGTTGTATCACTAAAACTCAATATAAATAAAAAAGACAAACAAAACAAACCTTTTTGGAAGGTATTGAATATGTGCTGTCAGTTCTTTTAACAGGATCCAATTAATCAGACCATACTTGCACAAAAATTCTATATGAAATATAAAATTTATTATCTAAATTACACTTCAAAAAGATTTCCATTACTTTTCCCATATACCAAAATAGACACTTTTTTTGCATGTTTTTTGTCTACCTAAATTAACCATGACCTCAATAGAAGCATTGTTAGGTCATAAATTGATCACTGTTCTTCGTGGTCTTGCACATCTGTTTCCCACTGGGGTGTGTAGTGATAGATGAAATCTAAGGATGATATCTCTATTTGATTTTGGTATACCAGAGTACAACATACAGGTTATATCTCACACAAACTATAAACATGCACCTTGTATATCTAGCATGTGAGGCTGACTTGACCGCGAACAGCACTGCCTAGGACTGTCAAGATAAAAGTGAAATCGAAAGACAAAACACGGGTTGCTGAATCAAACATACAGTCAGTTTGCAGCAAATATTGCAGGTTGCTGACGGACATGTTTGAGGCACCGGAGTTCTGTTCAAAACAAAATCAAACGATAACTTTAATTTGGGTCTAACCCCAAAACCTCCACTTAAAAATAATATTTGAAGTTTCAGGATTAATCGTTAAAAAATATTTTAATATGACAAAAATATCTTTTTTAGTTTGCAGCTCAAAATAACAAGGGAGATAATCAATGGCTATATACAGAGTTACCTCCCCTGGTAGTGATCCAGCACGTGTCTGGTTGTGTTTCTCCAATGGAAAGAGTAAGCAGTGGCAGTTGGTACATTTGCAGACCTAATCAGTCCATATTTAAACACTGTGTGTCCACTATAGAGTACAGGTTAATGGAAAAGATTGACCATTGGTCAATATATGATAAAATAGGCAATGAAGGATCTCGAGAAGCAACTGGATTTTTCACCTAAACATGAAGAGACTAAACCATATTCATTTCATCTTTCAAATTCCAATTAACAAATGAGTTCATAAACATGACAACTAGTCAAAAATGTCATAGAATCTCAAACAATTATACGAACATATGTATAGAGTTGTTCGGAAAGTAGGAGACGAAGCATGTCTCAGACTTGCAACATATTCATTTACATTTTAATTTCAATCAACAATTTACCTCAACATGACAAAAGGTCAAACATGTTGTCAAATATACACAGAAATGTGTAAAGAGTTTGAAAAGAAGTTAATGCTCGTGTCCATGTTTAGAGTACATCCACCAGTTGAAGTGAGTGTCCTCGTGGCCAGTAATGGAAGAAGCTGTGTTATGCTGCTGCTGATGCTGCTGCTAGTTAATCATCCTTGACCTCCTCCTCACTTGTCTGCGTCTCCAGCGTGGCAACCCGTTTTTCAAGACCACAAATTAGCTTCTCCTGACTCTTGACAGTTGCTTTCAGCTTCTTTAATTCTTCCATTACTTCCTTGGGGTCAAATCCTTCAGGCAGACTCTGCAACAAGATTTAGAATGATGATTAAAAATAAGATAAAAATAATTATTATACCCATTTATGATCTGTATTTTTAAGAGTTTTTATTTAAGGAAGGTGATGCTTATTACTGTCTGCGTATGTGGTGTATGATGACGACTTGATTTTCCTTGTAAACATTTAACAGAGAGACTTGTAGCAACTATTTAATGAAGTAAGTATGACCCCAAACCAAGCATTACCAGCCAGACTTAGCATGCTAAGCATGTGTTTGCCTTTACCATACATTTACATTAGTAATACAAAAGAATGAATTAAATATCTACTGAAGTAAATAAACAACAAAAACTTCAACTCTATGGAGCATAACTAAAACTATAAAGAATTACCAGAAACAAGAGACTCATCATTGCTCAAAGTCTTGTATTTATATCAAATACACATCACATTTCTTTTGGATGTGTACAAAAATGGAAAAAGGAATAAATAATAATAAAGTTTAAAAAAGATAATTACGTTTGTCTGAACTTTATGATTCACAAACGGTAAAAAATAATCCATAAATCATGTTTCATTTATAAACTTATAATTAAAATTAAAAAGTAAATTTTCATCTTCGTGACATGCAAACTTCCACAACAAAGGCTTCCTTTTTAACATATGTTCATGCAAGACTCAACAAAAATATATAAACATGCCACAATGTGATATAGGAAAAACCCTTTTGTAGCTTCTATGAGTAACAAACAGTTGAATGTCATGACTATTTAAAACAATGTGATGAGTAATTCAACTCGAAATCATATCATGCCAGCATTAATATTTCAATAAACAATATTGTATCAGTTCTACACTATTATATACTTCATTACATTTTCAAACGGAAGTATTTTAATTGACATCACGAAACACAAGACAGTTTCCCACAGTTCTATTTAACTCATTAGATACACTCAGCTAATTAAAATTAACAGTGATCAATATAAAGCATCACATTGGGTGACCAACACTCATTCTGAAAACAAACTACATGTAGTGTAGTTTAGGGTGAATCTATTGCGATGTTTTAGCCATTGACTTGTAGTGGTGAGTAGTTGGTTCAACGATGGTGGAAATCTGTCTTCCTTTATCGAAGAACCAGTGCAGGATATTGTGTCTACTATGGTGTCACGTCTCAGGAATGGCATGCCGCTCGTCTTGGAGTGAATGTGTCCTGATGAGTTGCCATAGTAACAGGTGAGTTTGCAACAGGGTCAGCTGCCCTCATGTCATCCGACTAGCCTTGCAAAAAATCAACCGAACTGTGGCCAGGAACAAAATACAACACTATGTCAACCTTCACTGGAAACACAATTTCTTTTTAAACTGCCATAAACTCTGCCTATGCCTACTGTTGTCACAAGATCTATATGTGAAATGAAGTAACGCTTTGACTTGTCCAACATATATATCCTGTATATATTTCACTACCCCTGTTGTCATATAAGGCTTTACTGACTTATCATATCCCACAGACACATGCACCAAATCAATGGCTAACTTCAAATACCTGTTTAACAATATCTAGGGATATTTATAAAGATGACATTTAGACAAACTGTTGATGTTCATAATAGTTTCCTGACTTTCACTGCTCAAGAATGATAGTTCTGAACAGAATCTGCCATGTCTTTGTCTAATAATGACGTAAGACCCCACCAGATCATAACCAATAATAATCCATATTGAGAATCATCTACACTTACTATTTGAAGATGTGTAAAATAATGTTAGGAAACTAGGCATTTTATACAAATGTAAGAACATCCGGATAACATTTCAGCAAACTCAAAGTGCCACCATCCACCGCCTTCTTCATCGGTACTGTGTTGGAAGTGCAAAGGAACAAAATTCAACCATCAAATTACGAAGGAAGAGGTGTACAAAGGAAAACGTACGATGACGACACTGCAGCAAGAGTTGGAATCACTGCATGAAAAGATGTGCAGTGGACACAGGTGCATCCAGTAGTGACAGAGATCACAAAGATCACAGTCTATCCAGAAACAGAACCACTTCTCATGCACTAAGGAAGTCAATGAACATGTCAGTCATGAAATTATCCAAATACTTCATTTTGTTTTTCCCCTTACATTTAGAGAGCATTACATGCAGCATTGGAGGACCAACTGTTTCATGAGGGTATAACATCCCAACACCATGCTGTCTGCCTACAGGAGCAGGGAACCATCAACCGACATGATGACGTTATGGACAGCAGTCCCTGTTTATTGTCCTTCAAGCAGAGCAGAACCAACTAAGCAGCAGACAAACGCAAACATGCAGAATTCAAACATACCCAGGAACAAACAGACAAAGCATGAAATCAAACAAACGGATATGATGAAAGCAAACAGAATTTCTTAAGTTCAAAGACTAAGGCTAAAAAATCAAAGGAAAATTTAATGCGAAACTTAAAGTAGAAATAAGGATTAAGGAGAAATAATGCTTTCAAATTCATTTACTGACTCTGCAAATACCGTGATAGTAAAGCCAACAAAAGGGACAGACTTCAGCAGATAACTAACAACTGTTTCAGTTCCTGGTATGCCTAAACTGTCTGACTGTCTGACTGACTGACTGACTTCCCAGTTCTTCTACAACACTAATCCAGGAGATTGATAGAAATATGAAAGCGAAAAAAATCTCACGAGAAAAGTCTTCATAGAGGCGCAGCTTAGAAGAAGCCTGCTTGAGAATTACGAAGCAGCAGTTTTCTCCCCTACACTGGATGTAAGTGCCTTCAGTGGCTGGGGTCTCTGTAGCTCACTTGATATATACAGACTTTCAACAACAAAGTGGTATCAGAATAAGCGCTGAAATATAGTGCTGAGTTAGGTACAGTCAAGTCTCGTTAATCCGACTCCGACACACCTAATTTGCAAGGAATTACCAAAATCACTCATTTATCTGTCTCATTAATCCGACACAGTGATCAGCGTACTCCGTGGTCATCTGCCTGCGAGTACACAGCCCTGTTTTTTGATGCAAGACGAGTCGGCTGGTAGCTGCATATTACAATGGCTGCAGAGATAAACTTGCTTAACAATAAACAATTACTGCTTTAAATAAAGAAAACAGGATTATTCACATGCCTAGATTACCTCCAACTCATAAAATCGGATGCAGGTTTTCGCTACTGGTGAGGATATCCCATTACAGGTCACGTCAGAACGACCTTTCCCGAACTTTGACCGACTAATGAAATTACTGACAGGAAGTCAACATTAGCCACTAAGAAAGCAGCTTTCTTAAGCATGGCGGCACTTGTTTCAAATTGGCGACTTCCATTCCAGACTGTGCTTTAAAAAGTATTTTGAATCAGTCATACATAGTGTTAAACTTTAGAGGTTGCATGATTAGAAAACATATTCCACTAACAATGTAACATTACAAAATGAATATTGCCTTTTTCCTCTTATTTATTACATGTTTGAATCGTTTTCTATCGTGTAGTTGTCTGATTTTCGATCACGAACGTTGATACTACCTAATTTCGTTTAACTGACATACTTGTTAATCCGACATAATCATTTGCAACCAACCATGTCGGATTAACGAGACTTGACTCTAGTTGTCCCAATACATTAATTTCATCAAAGATTGCATCATCATCACTTCACAGGTTTGTATACACTATGTTCTTTCATCATCTATGATTACATAGGGTTGTGTTGTGGTTTCAAGCAACGACTGCTTGGATTCAGTTTCTAATCAGGGAATGAATCCTGAAATCTGTCATTGAATATTATCATAGTTTGTTAATGAACTAGAGCTTTGCTATAAATGCAGCAATAGAAACTAACATTTTTAATCAACTAGTCCTCATAATGATAACATATGGCAACAAAACCTTAAAAATGGCACATTTCTACTAGCCCCATGAAAGCTTAAAACTTGGGCAGTTTGGCATGGACTATAGGACCTGTGCCATTTTCTATCGCTGTAAACGTATGTCAAACAAGAATAAAACAAGGGTTCTTTAATATTGTGCTCTTACTGAGGAGTTACATATCATTACAGGTTTTAAGTTTTTGTATTTCATAACTTACTCTACATAAAGAATAACAAATAAGAAAGAAAGCTTAAATTGAACATCGTTTCTATTCTTTTAATGAACCGTAGACAAAAGGTTATTGATGACCTTACTTTATTATCCCTCATGGAAGTAATTTACTTTTAGAAGTATAGACAGCATTACTACAGGTTTATAATTCCTTTACCATTTTACAACAATAAACACGATAAACTATAGCTAACCGTTTCTCTAAATGTTATTCTAAGTTTGTTGTTCTTATAAGTCCTGAATCTCGTCACATTATGTAGAAACAATAGTCAACTAGACATCTCTGGTCAGCCCTTGCTAAGTTCTGTACATATCATAATACATTCCTGATTAATAGAATCACTAAAGTCAGATTTTCTACCCACGTTCAGAGCCTCTTCAGGCTCTTCAGAGCCTCTTCAGACACGTTACATAGAAAACTTGATAGTACATAATTATAGCTAAGATGATTGGTCCCTTGAACATCTACTTGATGAAATTCTGATGAAAGATAAACAAAATTATATTATCAACATGGCTTCCATAACAGCCAAGTTGTATGTCTGCTAAATGTAGGAGGAAAGTCCAAAGTAATATAAGTCTCAGACGCTTACCACTTTGGTGAAACCATGAGCACATTTATGGCACTGACAAACCTAGAAACAGAATCTGTGCGAAATGGTATTCAAACCCACAATAAAAGGGTCCAAGTGTGCAGAAGGGACTTAACTCTAAATTGTTTGATAGGCATCACTTAGAAGTTGACGGATGACAAGGAAGACACGATCTTATGGATAACAACTTCTTTAATACTGTAAAAAGTGACATTTCGGTATAGATCCTTATACCATTGTCAAATAAGACTGAATGAGGGACATAGTACAGAACCTACTATAAATATATATATTCTGTACATTGTCCCTCATTCAGTCTTGTTTGACAACGGAATAAGGATCTATACCGAAATGCCCCTTTTTACAGTATTAAAGTTGTTATCCATATAATTGTGTCTACCTGGACTTAACTCTGCATATGAAAATGCAGCAACTTAGACGACTGGGCCATGTGCTCCCAGTAGATTCAGAGATCATATTGACATTTAGGACAGACAACAGACAACACACCATCTCACAAGCTGACATGAACCTTCAGTTCAGTTAGCCCAGAACACCATCCCCGGTTGAGTAGGATTAATGACAAGTTAGGCAACAATACAGCCATGCACATTCAACAAACGAGTAACACAAAAGAAAGCCATGAAACTGAACTAGCATGACAAAGTGAGAGGCTGAGACCGAAATACATTAAGCTTTTCCTTCATCCTCTTCCGACGTATTAACTTCATATTGGGACAGTTTCTCCTCTAGCGTTTTTATTCGTCGTTCATGAGCTTTCACTATCAGTTTGAGTTTGCGCATATCATCCAGAATGCCTTGGGGGTCAAATCCCTGTTCAGAGATAGAAACATAATAAACACATGCACAAAAAATAAACAACCATAATCACCAAAGCGAAACCAATATTCCCACACGAAGAATCATCTACGCCCTGGGAAATGTCTTGTGATCTTTAGATTCGGTTTTGATATTACCTTCTCAAATTCAAAATGAATTCACTGAACTTGTAATAAAGTAAACAAAAATGCATTCAGATAATGCAATCACGTAAAAAAATATACAACACAATATCCATTTCACACTGAAAAATAATCACACAGTTAAAGATACATAACATATTGTGTACATTGTATACTGGTATATATGCTGCTGGGAATATACATAATCACGGGAGGTTAGATCGGTGAAGGTTTAAATACTTGTGAGGGTTAAAGGGTTGGCAAAAAGGACACCACAATCCCTTAGTTGGTGAATAAAACATTTTAATTCAATGAGCATGCACATTTCTCCCTCCTGGTTGAGGAAAACATCCATAAAAATCACCAGAAAATTGGAACTTATCAGTGAAACCTGGCCTCGAACCATGCTAACGTGATGAATGCTGCTTCATATATCTCTCTGTGTTAATAGTTGGTGTATTACATCAATCTTATTGACATCAGATCTTAGTGCTCACACTGCTACACAAATATTTCAGGACATTCCATTAAGGCCACGCCAGAACTATCTTTCGCGAACTTTGACCAACCAATGAAACGACTAACAGGCAGTCGACATTAGCCAATCAGAAAGAAGTTCTCTGGAGCTTTATGACACTAGTTTCAAACTTTCGGTCCATTTAAGACTACGCCTTGAAAAATATTTTGACAAAGTTCTCCATTCAAATTGAAAAACTGAGCAAAAGAAAATTCAGGTATGTCTAATAGATGTCTGAGATTGTATGGCAGTACTTACCAGCGTTTGTGGAAAGTGTCTTTTGTTATAAATGTTTACCCAATTGAAGCATTAGATTTTGATGGAATTCTTTTCGAGGTTGCATTGCTAGAAAATACATTCAGACTTTCACTTTCTCGATCTCGTAAGTTATGCTCTGATTGGTTGGATGTAGGGTCATTCTGACGTGACCTGTAATGGGGTGTCCTTTAGATCAATGTGTAGCAGCAGCAAGTATCAAGATCTGATTTTAATGAGACTGACATCCTGAAAAAGTACACATTTCTCAGTCCTGTTAATACCGACATTTACTGTGCCCTATTCAAGACCCTTGCGAGTATTACTTACCTTGTCATACAATGTTCATGTCTTAATCCAATACGTATATTGTTGGATAAATCTTCATTAAGTCATCTATGATGACGAACTTGAGCTGTCGCTACATCGCTAAACCAGCATTGTTACTGGAAGTATTATCTATCTCAACATGAGTAAACAAGGAGTGGGTTGTTATTAAAGGTGACATAATAAAGATTACAATTTGATACAGATAGGATCATGAGGACAGGAAGTGTTATTAACCATATTATTCATGGAATCCATTACATTAACAATTATCTATCAATAATGACACTATTTTGAACTACCTTCAGTAGAAGCATTACAAAAAAAAGACTACATAGAAATTTCTTAAAACTGCTTTCCTGCACTCTGGCAAAACGTGCAATACTGATCAAGAAAATGAATTAAATGTTGAATAAACTTGAAACTTATTTCTCTTTAGTTTATTATACCCTAATCCAAAGTTAACAACTTTACCCTAGTTCATAGTTAACAACTTTACCTTAATTAACATCTTTACCCTACAGTAGGTTCAAAATGTGCCCAGCATTGCAGTAGGTGCAAAGGAAAACTGGAGGCAATTTTGTGAGGCATTTGGTTAGGCAAGGTTGTGAAGCGCTTCTTATTGAAAAAAGCATAATTTTCTTAAAAATTGTATCTACCACATGTTCATCTGGAGGAGTAGACGTGGTAGAAATCTAAAAAACAACAACAATTAAATGAGCTTATTCCACTTCCTAAACAAAGACTTCAACATTTCCTTATTTGCTACCTGTGCTCTTTGTAATTAGTCTTTCTGCTGAAACACACAGTGAATGTTAATATGGAACGCGAGGGCTGAACACGGAAGACCGGTCCACTCACCGGGGGGAGGACAGCAGCTGCTGCAGCCTCCGAGTTGGTCGACTGAGCCTGGGACGTTCTGGATGGCATCTTGTCCAAAACATTAGACCTGCGCACCACCTTCAAGGCATCCTTTCTTGTGGAAACAAAGCCTCCCTTCAGAGACACCTGAAACATCCATGGGGAACATTCTTAGTTAAAACAAAAAGAGGTTCATGTGAAGTTTAGGGTCGAGTTCAAGAATACTGTACTTAAAGCAATATCCACGCAGGTGTGGACCCCACTCTAACAGTATACTGACTAAGCCGACCAGTCCTTGTTTTATCCCCTTCATCAGCGATAGAAACTAACAGTTTCAGTCCATTAGTCCTTACAATAATAACATATAGCAAAACCCTTAAAAAGGGCGAATGTCTCCCAGTCCTTATGATACCTTAACTATTGGGTGAGGTGAAATGGGGTTTAGCGTCGCGATTATTGCACTTATTTAGCGACGTGCATGTACATGTTTGTGTGGTTGCTTGTATTGGTCCGGACTGATGCCGATTTATAGTGCTAGCTCACTGAGATACCATGCCGCAGTTTAACATGAATACCCCACTCAGACACAGTATACTGACTCCGAGCCGACCAGTCCTTGTTTTAGCCCCTTAATGCCGAGCGCCAGACAGGGTAACAACAACTACCATCTGATCTTTTAACGTCTCTTGGTATGACGCGGTCGGGGATCGAACACCGGACCTTCCGCTCTCCGGGCGGACGCTCTACCACTAGACCACGGAGGCGGTCCCTTAACTATTGGGAAGCTTGGCAAGGACTACAGGACTAGTGCCAATTTCTAACACTAACGCAATTTAATGCTAAATGTCGGGCAATTGTAACTACAAGATCGATCTTTTAACATCTCTTAATATCGAATCACTGACCTTCCGCTTTCCAGGAAGATGCAACATGCACAAGGCTACAGAGGCGGTCTTCAAAATTACAATAAGAGACGATCAGATTGACCCATCAGAATAAAATGCTTTCAAACTTCATGGCAGAATTGGGGATTAAATTGACAAAGAAAACAGCACATCGGGGAATAACAAAAAAAATAGATGAGCATTATCACCCTCATCAGAATCAAGTATTTCCAAATTAATGGTAGAATAAGGGATTAAATTGAAATAGTGAACAGCATGAACAATATACCGGTGAAGAATAACAAAACATATGTGCATTGTCACCCTCAGGCCCCTCCCTCACTACAATTGTACACAGTGCACATAAAGTCTCTCTATCAAAATACTATTGGTTACTGAGGGAATACTGTACCATTATAGGGTCAGCATCTTTGCCGGCAAACCAATCTTCTGCTGATAAAGCAGGCGTGTCAGATGGTGTGTCTGGGTACAGGTCATCCTGGAACAGCTCGGACTGCAAAAGGAAACAGTATTAATTATCCATTAAGGTCAATAAAGATGACCATTGCTGATATTAACACATTTGCAAATTACCAATTTTTGAAGTTTAACTGGAACAGTTCTTGCAAAAACAGAAGCAGCACCTTCATCATGTTCATGGCAATTTGGGGAAAATACCTGTCATTACAGTACAACATTAAAACAGAAAGTCCCATGCCACAAACTACCTCAATAACATAGCAATAGGCACTTCCAGTTAAATGATATCGCTTCCAGTTTCCGAAAACACAAGTCTTATCCAAGACAACTCTAAAACAGTAAGTCTTATGTTTCTAGCTACCCCAATAAGAGAGTTATTCTCACTTCTGGTTGAATGATGTCATATGCGATGTGCCTTTAATACAGAAAGTCACATGCCTCTAGCTACAGCAATAAGAAAGTTAAATGTACTTCCAGTATTATGACATCACTTCTGGTTTAGGAAAACAGGTCTAAAGAATAATTGATGAAGCACGGCTTTAAGACCGAAAGTCCCACGCCTACCTACCTCAAGGAGGTTTAAATGCACTTCCAGTTTAATCAAATGATCTTGACAATCAATTTCAGCCCCAAAAATGCATGGTTAACAAGGGTGAACTGAAATGTTTAACAACAGTTGTAAGTGTTTCAAAAAATTTCTAGTGCTATTCAACATATTACCCAAATTTTATGTCCCCAGCTGGAATTGAACGTAACAATGTAAAAATTGTACATGCTACTTATTGAAAGTCAGTAGCCAATGAACGGAGAGTAGGATCAAAACAAAGTTCATGGGACCTGTCAATCAAGACAAGAGGCGAGAAGAACTGCAACAGTCAGACTGTAACGAACCGGCACAATTATGTTCAGGAGAAGGCGGCTGTTTCAAATGATTGGTCAGATTCAAACCGTCAGATTCAAACATTAGTTCCCTGAGAATGGGAATACATAGTTGGAAAAAAGCGCATAAGAAATGAAACCCGAAGACATGAAATTTGTGGAACCCAGGCAAGCGGGTAAAATTATGTTAGCGAGCCTGCACACTTGCTGTTTCATTCCTTCTTGGCTTTTTGTCTCAAAGGGTAGTTTGGACAATGAATATTCATGAATGCCCTGTGCATGATGATACACGTGAGAAGAATGGGAATTGCTCGACTGTAATATTGTTATTCCTCAACATTCCGTAGTAATAAAAGTACACCTTGGTGGGCGTGACCAATTGAGCTAATCACAATGCAGGAATTACAATGAACGAAAATTTAATTATTTTCAAAACAGCATGGTGTTGGTGACATTACCTTTCTTGGTACTGTGAAGGGTATGACCTCGCAGAGACCACTGTTGTGTAGCTTGTATATCCTGACAAAACAAAACAATGACACAAAATTTACAGGAAATATGTCAAACTATGAAAAGGCAGGAAAGACTGATGATGATGCTGTAGCAGTCAGTGCTAAAACATTTGATTCTACAAACTAATATTTGGTATTATTTTCAGTATATTTTAGTTATCGAATAAGGACAAGACAAGAAGAAATACTAGACTCATGTTTCGAGCTAGTGGTTGGAGTTGCAGACTGCTATTGGAAAACATGACCCAAAAAACATTCATGGTTGCAGCTGTTTGTGTGACTTAAATTAAACAAAGACACATCAATACTCGAACATGCAACATGCTGAGTATAATACAATGGATTTAATACTACAATAAAATAGTATTGATCTTTGTTATATACAGAGATGAAGTTTTTTTACAATTTAGTCCTGCATGATGCACTCCCTCAGGGTATGATGAGACACAATCAGACCAAACATTGTAACTCACCAGATCCTCAATGATCAGTGACACAAGGAACTCAGCAAGCTAGGGCCAGACAAACCAGAGGTTGACAGCATGATGCTCTCCCTCAGGGTATGATGAGCTCACCAGATCCTCAATGATCAGTGACACAAGGAACTCATCAAGCTAGGGCCAGACAAACCAGAGGTTGACAGCATGATGCACTCCCTTAGAGTATGATGAACTCACCAGATCCTCAATGATCAGTGACACAAGGAACTGTTTGTTCAAGCTATATCATGTCAGCATGTAACTCATCAAGCTAGGGCCAGACAAACCAGAGGTTGACAGCATGATGCACTCCCTCAGGGTATGATGAGCTCACCAGATCCTCAATGATCAGGGACACAAGGAACTGTTTGTTCAAGCTATATCATGGCAGCATGTAACTATAAAGCTTGGGCCAGACAAACCAGAGGTTGACAGCATGATGCACTCCCTCAGGGTATGATGAGCTCACCAGATCCTCAATGATCAGGGACACAAGGAACTGTTTGTTCCAGCTATATCATGGCAGCATGTAACTATAAAGCGTGGGCCAGACAAACCAGTGGAGAGTTCATGAGATATGCCCCAAGAAGTTGTGGTATGACGACATGGAATAATCCAAGTCAGCAAATCTGACCACTTGACTGGCACTTGCCCCCATGGGACCGCAAAGATGTAAAGATTACTGTCAACACAGTGATTTTACACTTGTCTCAAGAGCATGAGTGAATCCAAAGGATTAGTAAAAATTACTTAATTTTGGACGGTTTACATCAACAACAAGAGACTGTATCAGTAAATATACCTGGCTATTTCACAGTTATTAACATTAAGTCCTCTCTTCGACATGAAGCCAACACCTCTACCGGCCTCCTTTGACTGGTATGTATTCAGGTAATGCACGTAAGGCTCTTCATCAGTCACCTCGAAATACCGGATCTGACTGTCCCCCTGTCAACATACAACTTTCCATTAACTATTGATGATTATTACCCACATGGGCAATCACATCAGGGAAATTGTTTCCATTAAGACTCACTGAGAAAAATAATTCACGCTTCATGCTGATTTGATGCCTTGTTTCATTGATTTAATTGTTTGCAACCCAGAATGCAGCTGTTTCAGTTCATTGGTGCAAATGATTAAACATTAAAATTATAAATTGCAAAATGGATAGGAAATGCTACAATCTGGTTGGCTGAAAAACATTCTACTTTGAGTTTGTTTCAAAATGGGGATTGAGAAAAAACAACCTATCAATCAGAATGACGAAATGAATACCACATTAAAAACCAGGGTTAGAAATAAACTCAAACGCTTTACGAGCCCAGGTAAATATAAAATGCCCTTGTAATGTTACAACAATGGGAACATAGGGAAATCAGAAAGCTCTAGGGAATTTTAACTAGCCTCGGACTAGCGGGCTTGTGTTAATTTCCAACCCTAAACTATTATAAGAAATCAATATATATCAGAACAATTTAAATTTATATTTCTCCCACAATCAACTAACCAGTTCAGTTGCAATGGAAGCATACAATATCAATGATTGTATTATGCTATTCCAGTGTGACAGAATAACATTTTAGAGTGATGTCAATGCTCTAACCACTAAGTTACCCCATCGACCTCACAAGTTCAAGACTCCACAAAGAAAGAGCATGAGAAGCCAATGCTCTAACCACTAAGTTACCCCATCAGCCCCACAAGTTCAGGACTCCACAAAGAAAGAGCATGAGAAGCCAATGTTCTAACCACTAAGTTACCCAACCAGCCTCACAAGTTCAAGACTCCACAAAGAAAGAGCATGAGAAGCCAATGCTCTCACATCTAAGTGACCCCATCGACCTCACAAGTTCAAGACCGCTCAAAGAAGTCGCAAAAGAAGCCAACGCTCTAACCACTAAGTTACCCCATCAGCCCCACAAGTTCAGGACTCCACAAAAGAAAGAGCATGAGAAGCCAATGCTCTAACCACTAAGTTACCCCATCAACCTCACAAGTTCCAGACTCCACAAAGAAAGAGCATGAGCATGATGAGAAGCCAATGTTCTAACCACTAAGTTACCCCATCACCATCACAAGTTAAAGACTCCTAAAATAAATATGCATAAGATGCCAATGCTCTAACCACTAAGTTACCCCATCGACCTCACAACTTCAAGACTCCTCACAGAAAGAGCATAAGAAGCCAACGCTCTAACCACTAAGTTACCTCATCGACCTTACAATTTCATTACTCCTCAAAGAAATCGCAACAGTGACCACTAACACTCACAAATACCGTCTTCTCTTTCTCATTTATTAGCCACAGAATACAGCGTTAGAAATTGGCACTAGTCCTGTAGTCCTTGCCAAACTTCCCAATAGTTATCAGAAGGAATAGTAAATATTTGCCCTTCTAAAAGGTTTTGCTATATGTTATCATTATAAGGACTAGTGGACTAAAACTGTTAGTTTCTACTGCTGGGATGTTAATGTGGCATCCATTTTACACATGTTCTTTATTTTGACAAAAAAACAACATGTATGTGAATCTTTGAAGATAAAGATAACAAGCATATTTACCTTTCCACAGAGATAAACCATGTTGACATCTGCATCGTACAAGGGAAACATCACTCCATTGCTGTTGTCAAGCTCATTGATTTCCTTTGGCTTACTCATGTCTTTCTATAAAAAAATGTAAACACAGAATTATCTATCATAAACATCATTATTTACCATGATGCAGATTCTTGCCTCGACATATTTGTTAGGCCAATATGTAAGGGCAACACGTGGTCTAAGCTCCACACATTCATAATGTGACACTAATAAATGTTTTTCAGAAACACAATAGCTTCAATATCATATGACATCAGCATAATCCCACTGTAAAATGCTTCATGTCAGCGTGGTATTAACAAGTTGCTCTCCATGCAAAGATTTGAGTCTGTACCAGACAATCCAATGATTGATAATATGAGCGGCATTCCTTACAATCGGGGTACGGTGACACGCAATCAACCATGTCACCTCTGGTGGGGACCAATTCTAACCTGGAATCCCCATGGGGTACTATGTATGTGAAGGAGACACCTACCTCGTCCCACAATGCATACTGTCTCTCACTCATTCTGGAGAAGCCAGTGCTGAAGATGTGGCCATCCTTCAGGTACACCACCTGTGCAGGTTTGGCTCCAGCATGACCAGCCCCTTCCTACAACAAACACCTCAGATACAGTTCAACCTCATTTACTTGAACTCCAATAATGGAGTCAGCCTGGAAGCAAAATTTATCAGGTTTTCCTGTTGCTGAAAACCCTGTTTTAACTTTGTAAATGTCACGCAAGAAAAAATACTGAACAACCTAAGATCATGGACGCATCAGAATCACAGACAAAACACAAGATCTTTTCTCTTAGGAACTGGTCACATATTTTATATCGAGAGATAATAATTTCTTTTTTGTTCAGGTGTTCATTTTGCTGTGAACACTGCCCTGTTCTTGGGTTGCCTTGACCTGTAAGTATTGCAATGATCTTGGGTTGCATTGACCTCTAAGTATTGCCTTGATCTTGGGTCGTATTTAGCTGTAAGCATTGCCCTGATCTTGGGTTGCATTTAGATGTTAGCATTGCCCAGGTCTTGTGTTGCATTTAGCCCAAAGCATTGCCCACGTGTTGAGTTGCATTCACCTGAAAGCATTGCCCTGATCTTGGGATGCATTAAGCTGTAAGTATTGCCCTGATCTTGGGTTGCAATTACCTGTAAGCATTGCTCTGATCTTGTGTTGCATTTAGCTCAAAGCATTGCCCACGTGTTGAGTTGCATTTACCTGTAAGCATTGCCCTGATCTTGGGTTGCAATTACCTGTAAGCATTGCTCTGATCTTGTGTTGCATTTAGCTCAAAGCATTGCCCACGTGTTGAGTTGCATTTACCTGTAAGCACTGCCCTGATCTTGGGTTGCATTTCAAAGTTAGCATTTACCCTGGTATTGGGTTGCATTTACCTGTAAGCAATCCCCTGTTCTTGCGTTGAAAACTCGAAGTTTTTTGTCCTTGCAGGTGCAGGCAAATTTGCTGCCATTAAAGTTGAAGGAAGCACAGAGTGGCAGATCAGGAAGATCTATCTCATTTAACACCTCTCCAGTTCCAACATTCCAGATGTAGATCTTGTTGTCTGAACCTGAAAGTCACATTATTGTTGAATAGCTTGAGAACCAACAGTAATTGGATCTGCTGCAACTGCCTACTTTTACTATTTTAAATATCTTCAGAATATTAGCATCTGAAAGAGTCACAGCTCAAAGTATTTGATGGATAGGTAACTGAAACAGCTAGGATTAGCATCAAGCCATGTAAGGCCTGTTCGATTCAATTTCTTGTTCTTATTTACCCGCCTGCCAATACAATTGCCACTGCCCTTAATATTAAAAGCACTACTATTCAATATGTTCAAATCAAATTTCCAGACTGTGCCAAACACTCCTCTGTCTACATGTCGAAATTATCTCTTGGCATCATTTTCAGTAGATTTTAGTAAATAATGGACTGTCTTAACTGAGCCTAGTATACCCAGCTATAGGCTCAAATATTTGGCTTCCTGCAAATTGCTTAAGTCGCTGACAGAATTTATTTTTTTGTTCTGGATTCTACTTTTCGCACACAGCATGTCATTGCACTCAGATTTGAAAGGAGTGAGTGAGTGAGTGAGTGAGTGAGTGAGTGAGTGAGTGAGTGAGTGAGTGAGTATGGTTTTATGCCGCTTTTAGCAATATTCCAACAATATCATGGTGGGGGACACAAGAAATGGGCTTCACACATTTTACCCATGTCAGGAATCGAAACCCGGGTCTTTGGCGTGACGAGCGAACGCTTTACCCACAAGGCTACCCGACCGCCCCAAGATTTGTAAGGAGACCTTGCTGTCGACACCATAACCCATATCTTAATACTCTGAGCCACAATGTACATAAGAATCCAGTCTACTCTCATAGATTCCTCACCCCTCAAAAAAGTGAACCAAAAAATAATTTTGAAAACAGTCAAACAAGAATATTATTTTTCACTGGTCAAAGTGAGACCGGATGTGTTGACACCTTACCTGCACTAAGCAGCACATTGTGTGCAGTAGGGTGCCACTTCACACAGCTGACCCTACGCTGGTGGGCTACCAGGTCCACCACTGGCTCGGTCAGCGCCTTGGTCAAACCACCCTCTGGTATCTGCCAGATCTTGATTGTACAATCCTCAGATGCACTGGCAATGACGTCATCGTTGTGTGGACACCAAGATATGTCCAGCACAGCTGCCTTGTGACCAGAAACGAGCGGGCTATCTCTTTCTACTCTGCCAACCTGAAATAATAAGGATTGTATTCACTGAACATGAAGATCAAGAATAAGACTGAATCCTCTAGTTTGCACAGAAAGATTAGGCACTCTACCATGTCTACTAAGCCAATCTGTCAAATACTATCTGCACTTAGAGCATGTGCTCTGTGACGTGGAAATAAAGCGCTATATGGTGCATTCTAAGATGCTTTGCTATAACATCAAAGGTGATGTTGTTTGTTTGTTGTTTAGCACCGCACTCAGCAGTATTCCAGCTATATGACGGCGGTCTGTAAATAATCAAATCTGGACCAGACAATCCAGACATCATGAGAACCGATCTACGCAAGTGGGATATGATGAAATGCATCAATCAAGTTAGCGAGCCTGACTACCCGATCCCGTTAGTCGCCTCTTACAACAAGCACAGTCACCTTTTACAGCAAGCATGGGTTGCTGAAGGCCTATTCTACCCCGGATCTTCACGGGTCATCAAAGGTGATGAATGTACCTTATCCTGCGCTAAAGTACACTTTGTGAGCTATGTCATAAAGGCTATGTCATGACGCTGTTTAAATAACCGTCCCTCGTGATCTAAAGAATCTGTGATAACACCATTCTTTCATTACTGTCAAGCAAGATAGCGCACTCATCAATTGTCCATCAGTGAAATCATCCTGGATAACCCCCGTGTTTCTCAGACTTTTTCAAAACCTTTAACACACTTTTATACACTTTTCACATTGTTCTAAACTAAACATTTCGTATACACGGTTTAATCTGATGGATGAAAAAACAGAAACAAAACTCCTCCTAATTGCTTTATCAAATAAGTAATTGAAAATAAATGCAGAATGCACTACTAATTCAAGCATTTGAACTTCCTCAGAAGCAGCTACTTCTTCATGGCTGTCATGCCATCAGGAACACAACTTGTCAGGCACTGATTATTTAATGCAACAACATGGCACACTTGCCAATCAATTTCATCACTGGTGATACCGACGGACAGTTGTTAGTTGGTTTGTTGTTTAACGCCGCACTCAGTAATATTCCAGCTATATGACGGCGGTCTGTAAATAATCAAATTTGGACCAGACAATCCAGTGATTGATATCATGAGCATTGATCCACGCAATTGGGATCGATGTCATGCATCAACCAAGTCAGTGAGTCTGACCACCCGATCCTGTAAGTCACCTTTTACGACAAGCATCGTCACCATGGATTCAGATGAAATAAAATAACCTAACAGGGAAGACACAGGAATAACTTGAAATGTCAAGATATGGTCAAATGTTTCAAACTGGCGACTTCCATTCCAGACAACACTTTGAAAAACATTCATAGTTCTTAATTCACAATTTGAAAACTGTTCAAAGAAACGTAAAATACAAGAATGTCTAACAGATGGTTGAGATTGTATGGCAGCACAACCACGGGCTATGAAAAGTCCTTTCCATTACGAATGATTATCTTGATTATTCCATTGAAACTAAGATAGACAGTAATTTTAACAGTCAGTAATACAGTCCATGACTGTTGTTTTGAAAGCCATGTTTCAACACTTTTGAGGGTGCATGATTAGAAAACACATTTGCACTTTCAGCTTTGGCGATCTTGTAAGTGACACACTGATTGGTCGGATGAAATTGAAAGGTCATTTTGACATGACCTATAATGGGATGTCTTCAGATCAATGTGTGCAGGTAGCGAACACTTAGATTTCATTTTAATGAGACCGGAATATATCTGACTGTATAACAGTGTATAATGGGACGTCCTCAGATCAATGTGTAGAGGTAGTGAACACTTAGATTTGATATTAATGAGACCGAAATATTGCTGACTGTATAATGGGACGTCCTCAGATCAATGTGTAGAGGTAGCGAACATTTAGATTTCATTTTAATGAGACCGGAATATTGCTGACTGTAGAATGGGACGTCCTCAGATCAATGTGTAGAGGTAGTGAACACTTAGATTTGATATTAATGAGACCGGAATATGCTGACTGTATAATGGGACGTCCTCAGATCAATGTGTAGAGATTGGGAACACTTAGATTTGGTATTAATGAGACCGGAATATTGCTGACTGTATAATGGGACGTCCTCAGATCAATGTGTAGAGGTAGCGAACACTTAGATCTGATATCAATGAAACTGGAATACTGCTGACTTTGTAAAACAGCAAATAAAGCAATCACGTGGTTCGACAAGGAACAGTGTGATGATAATTTCCTGCTACTGATAAAAATTAGAAACTCTCCTTGTGTGATGGTTTCACTTTCAGGTTTCATTCAGGTCGGAGGAAGCTTCCCCAAGGATGTCACTTGGTGTACTCAGGTATGTTGTAGGTACTCATTTGGGGTTTAAAATGAGTCATAATATCAACAAATTAGTAATCATTATTAGCGTGACTGACTGTTTGATGACAATAATTCATCTTTTCCATTTATATTTATCATCTCGTCAAAATCTGTAACCTGTCCATCGCAAGCTTAAACAAGTGCTTATTCATTGATTATTAATTACTTGAATATGTCACAATGTGTGTAGTTAATTAGTAGCCTAAATTGATGGTGATTTATTTGTGCCAAACTCTTAAATTAATTGTACTTCATCATATTCATGGAATTTGGTTCAAAATATGCAATGACTCTGTTAAAATTGTAATGGTTGGCATATCTACACCAGGTGTAATTACTGGGAACTTTACAATAGAGGCAGTCAGTTACCATAGACAACTACAGCCCATAACAGCTGTGCCGAAACAAGAGCCTCATCTTTGATTTTTCGTTACCAATCACAATCCCAAGCCTTAAAAAAGAAAGAACATTTTTTGCAGTGTTTTTATATTTCTATATTGCAACCCTCCAAACAATACAGTATAAATGTACACAGATGCTATGGACTAACTACTAGATACTGTGAGTACCAGTCAGCATCCCTGCCTCCAACCGCCTGCAGTACACACTCAGTAATTAGCCAGGTTATGACTCATAGCTTCACTGGCTGCAGCAGTACTAACAATAGACAAGTCGCCACTTAATCCTTCCTTCTCTTCACGTCCATCTGCTGCAGCTACTACAGAGCTGTCTACATCAAATGTAGTGACCCACACTAGGAGATACTGAAGACCGAATAGTGCTTCCAGCCTCATCAGCCATCTTGCAGCTATATGCAATTAATAAAACATTGTGAATATCTATTTGTTGATGAAGTTTCACATTCTCATCAGCTAACATTTAGATTCAGAAATGAAAAATATTCATTTTTGTCAATTTGTCTTTTAATATATATACATATAAAACAAACAAATCATGTGAAAAGATAGGATCCCAGAGAATCGGGAAAAAATTACACTTATTAGACTACAGAGTCTGTAGCAGACACACTTGAATACAGAGGTGCAGACACATAGATGACATAGACAGGATAGTCTGTCTCATGCTTGTTTGTATTTTCCATATACTTAGTACAAAGGGATTGTTCTGTGAGATAACAAGGATTTTCAATCATTTCAACAGCCATTTCATCAGGGCATGGCAACCTGTGGGTTATCAATCACTTCATCAGGGCATGGCAACCTGAGGGTTATCAATCACTTCATCAGGGCATGGGAACCTGAGGGTTATCAATCACTTCATCGGGGCATGGCAACCTGAGGGTTATCAATCACTTCATCGGGGCATGGCAACCTGAGGGTTATCAATCACTTCATCAGGGCATGGCAACCTGAGGGTTATCAATCACTTCATCAGGGCATGGCAACCTGAGGGTTATCAATCACTTCATCGGGGCATGGCAACCTGAGGGTTATCAATCACTTCATCGGGGCATGGCAACCTGAGGGTTATCAATCACTTCATCAAGGCACGGTAACCAGGGTTATCAATCACTTTATCAGGGCATGGTAACCAGGGTATTTTGGTATGCTTCCTGAAACCTCAGGTTACAGCACTTCTAAGTGTCACAAGCATTGTCATCATAATGATATTGTTGAAGTACTGAGTCATAATAGTAATCTCAGCACTCAGAGGGAAACCCCTTTACTGTGTGTCAGTAGGCCAAATACAGCTAACGAATCTACAACCAGTACAACATCTTATCTTGTGAAGATGGTGATATGTCAGTGTTCGAAAAAATGTTTTAATCTTACTGTCCAAAGCAGTGAATATTCAAGACCCTCAAACCTTCTCAAGACACATTAGCTATTTTCATTGCCTATTTAAGACATTATCTACATTCAAGGACTTTTAGAGATTTCAAGATTTAAAGACTTTTCAACATGTTTCAAGTGAGTGAGAGAGGCAGGTCATATGCCCCATTCAGCAATATTCCAGCAAATATGTTGGGGGACACCGGAAATGACATGACAACACTTCATCTAACTATTAAGCATCTCAATTTCAGGCTTCTTTGTAAACAAAAAAAACCCATGTTTTAAAGATGAGACATTCAGACATTTAAACACCCATATACAAACCCTGAAAAAAGACATACATTTGTGGAGAAGTTGGAAAGGCAGTTCCTTATGGTATACCACGGCATGGTATTTGTAATGCAGTTACCAATTCTGTTACTTCATGTAAATCATTACATAATGACTTAATAGTTTCCAAGAGAGTTGACATGACAGCGTTAGAAATTGACACTAGTCCTATTGTCCTTGCCAAACAGCCCAATAGTTAAGATATCAAAAGGACCAGTAGGAATTTGCCATTTTTAAGAGTTTTGCTATACGTCATCATTATAAGGACCAGTGGACTAAAACTGTTAGTTTTCACTGCTGCATGATAGACAAGCTAAGAGTGAGTGCCCAAGGGACGTAATTCTGCACAGCGAATTGCGGCGCCTTAGACGACTTGGCCACCCGTGTCCCCGACAAGCGAAGAAATAGCTCAGATCTGTAGACCGATGATAGGTGTTATATTGGCTTTACTGTACTCATTGTTGGAAAAGGATTTTGAATACTTTCAACAAGGACAGAAATAAACCTTGACAGTCTACCCACAAAAA